GAACCAATGACTGCGACACTTTTAGAGACATTGCAACTTCCTTGCATTAGAATTTTGAGGGTCCTTCTCAAAACTCTGCCCCAGTTTAACAAGCGATTCTTCTGCCGTTCCGCATATGATAAAGTTGGCTGGACTTGCTCCGGAATTCAGGGTCCTCCTCAACATTCTGCCCCAGTTTCTGACCATGGGGAAAATGAAAATTTTATTAAGATGTGACCGAAACCACAAGACTGCCTACGTATCCCTCTTAAACGGGAATCGGGTCAAGCGTAGATCAGTTACGTCAAAATGAAGAAATGCAAACAATCTAAACATAGTATCTTTTGACTGCGTCTGAGTTGATAGATTTTTGCCATATTTCTCCGTCCATTTTGGCAAGTATTATTTCTCCTCCCGTTAGTACTTTGTGAACCATATAAGGACCTTGCCAGTTGGGTGAAAACTTCCCTTTGGCTTCATCTTGATGTGGAAAGATTCGCTTCAGCACCAGTGCCCTGGTGCGTACTGTCTCGGTCTGACCTTTTTGTTGAAAGCTCTGGACGTTCTGTTCTGATAAAGCTGACCATGGGATACCACATTCATTATTTTCCCGTCAATAAGAGCTATTATTCGTAGCAACTTCTTATCCATTCTACATCACTGAGTTCAGCTTCTTGTATGATTCTTAAGGAAGGAATTTCGACCTCGGCGGGAATGACATCTTCAGTACCGTAGACCAACATGTATGGAGTTGCTCCGGTTGATGTGTGGACTATGGTACGGTACCCCAATAAGGCAATTTCTCGTGCAATTGCTTGTGGTTGTCTACTATCTTTCTCAATATTTTCTTGATATTCTTGTTTGCGGCCTCCACGGCTCCATTAATTTGAGGCCATCATTCTGTAGAATTCATATGCTTGATTTTGAAGGTTTTCACATGACTTTCATTAAGTTGTTGTTGAGGTTGGCGGCGTTGTCGGTGATGTTGGATTCTGGCACCCCGAAACGGCAAACAATACGATCTCTGACAAAATATGTGACAACTTTCTTTGTTATAGCCTTATTAGATGCAGCTTCAACCCATTTTGTGAATTAGTCTATAGCCACTAGAATGAACCTGTGCCCGTTCGAAGCAGCAGGCTCGATCAGACCGATGACATCTATTCCCCAAGCAACAAAAGGCCACGGTGTGCTTGTTGCATTGAGTTCATTTGGTGTTACCCGTATCATATCTGCATGAATTTGACACTAGTGACACTTTTGGACATACTTGATGCAGTCCATTTCTATAATCATCCAAAAATATCCTGCCCTCAATATCTTCTTGGCTAAAACAAAACCGTTCATGTGTGGTCCACAAGTCCCGGCATGTATCTCTTCGCGCAGTTGGAAGCTGTCTTGGAGTCAACGCACCATAATAATCCTAGGTCTGGAGTCCTTCTATACAGAATTCCTCCAATTTTGAAGAAATGGTTAGATAATCTTCGGAGTGTGCATTTCTAAATATGATTTGCATGCTCCAGGTATTCTCCTTTTGCCAAGTATTCCTTGATATCATGGAACCACGGATCCCCATCCGTTTCTTCTTCAACGTGAGCGCAATAAGCTGGGTGATTATGGATTCTTACTAGAATAGGGTCGATGAAATTCTTGTTCGGGTGTTGTATCATGGAGGACAAAGTGGTTAGGAAAGATTGTAAATCTTCTACTGTGATTTCTTCTAGTAATCGTTGACTGTCTCACAATGTTGCATACGACACTCTTATCTGTTATGTTTTGAACTGCCTATACTGTTAGTCCAATGTATAGGTTATAACAATAAGCATCTTTTAACTAAAAGCCTCGTCTCTGCTTCGACGAGGTTAGAAAAAATACTTACCAGGACATGGGGTCAGTTGTACTGATACTACACTTCTGTACGATGTGTATAGATTCATTTGGAGCGGAGATGTTGGTGACATTGGGTGTTGATTAAGAAGATGTTCATGTGTTTCTGATATAGCTACCACTTGTCCTTGGTAGCTTAGGTTGTTGCTAACCTTTTTATGTAACTTTCAAATAGAACGTGTATTTATTTGTATCCATTTTAAAATTTCAAGTCTTAGAAGCTCGTGATTCGTACTACCAGGTCTTAGGTAAATTTGTAGATGTTCAGTTATCTATTCTCTATTTTCTTATAATCTCAGTTGAGTTGTATTTTATGTTAGTTGGCTTACCTAGCAGGTTGAGTTAGGTGCCATCACGACTTGTGGTTTTTGGATCGTGACATTAAAACTCCAGAACATTAGATTTGTGTTTTACTTTTAGAAGTTGAAACTCAAGGACATTGAATGTTTGTCGATAATAGAAATTGAAAAGAGGCTATTTATAGAAACAATTCTTATAACATACGCTTTATGTGAATGAACTAGGACGGCTTCAAACCTAAATGTTCATTATCAACTTGATGCCAATCCAACCATGAAACACGTTATACTTCTTTAGTTTTCTTTTATTTTTTTAAATTCTTTGCTTGAGGTCTTGCTATAAGTTATCTACGTCCTTCCAATATAGTAATATTTAATTTTGGAGACGAGAGCGGAGGATGACAAGTTTAGGGGATCCCATATAAAAAAGGAACCTTAATCCTCACTGAATAGTAAATAATTATGTAGTCGCACTTTGCAATCTTTAAAAGGAAGAAACGATACCTAAAGTGGAAGAATTACAATTATCCCACCACACCTTTGATAGTAAATACCGATGAATTGTGTGTATAAAGTTTTGCAATAACATTCTTTCTCTTACTTTTTAATTATGTGTATTGTATTTCGAAAAGCTTGCTTTGTGGCGAAGCCAAGGAAGGGCAGTCCAGTGCACAAAATATTCACATAGGGTTCAGGGAAGGCTTGCACCCCCAAAGAGTGTGATGCAGACAACCTACCCTAATGCAAGCATTAGTGGCTGCTTTTACAGCTCGAATTCGTGATTTGTTGGTAACACAGAGACAAACATACTGTTGTTTTAAGGCTTACTTCCTGCTGGAATTCATGCTAGCTAATTAACAAAAAGCAATAAACACCAACTGCAAGAAGGAAAACAAATTTAGTCATTTATGTGGATGCCAAGGAATTCTGTGATCGAATGCCACTAGCCATTGTTTACCGTCAAAATCGGATAACAATTGAATTTGTAAGTTGTTTTAAGGATACGTGGATTCAATTGACACAATACGATAAATCAAAAGTACAATTGAAATAAGCAATGATAAAGTTAATTCAAACCGCACAACTTGAAAAATTATGGTCTTAGAAAATCAGTCACCCTTGAATAGGATGCGCTTCGATCAATGACAAGACCAAGTTGAATAAGAGCTTAAAGAGAAAAATAACAGTATATCGCTTTTGACTGCGTGTAACAATGTGTTTTACTAGTAATCAACCCCCTTTATATAAGAAGGGATTCCTAATTTAGGTGCAATTCTACAAAAGGTAAAAATCTCCTATTTTTCTGATTTACCGGTTCCTTATTGATACATGCCGAGATTCCTGCCGTAATACCCGACTGATCACAGATAGTTTGTCCTTCTATTATTTCGATCTTCTGTTATACATGTTGTCAATGTTTCCTCGAGCTCGTTCGGGTTCAGGGTCGATTCCGGGATCATGGACTCAACGTTCTCGAGGACGGACATTCTGATCTAGTGATCTGGTTTGATGGGACTCGGGGTTTAATCCCTCATGTTGCGAGCCCTATCTGTCATGTAGTAGACGAGCCTGATTTCGACCGTATACAGGAGTCCCCTTGTTTTTCGTAGAGTAAATGACGAGAAACTATATGAGCTTCTGATTCTCACCTCGATACTCCGTTTCAGAAACGACAAAATGAATGAAACATCTCGTCAGTCACGTCTTAAGGGCATTAAATGTTTGTCAGTTGCTGGCCGGCCACTCTTGGATTTGAACCTTCGTTTGAAAACTATAAATACCCCCTTCTTCATTCATTCAAACTTTACATCCAAACCTTCTCTACTCATGTTCCTTCGAAATCTCTACATTTTCTAGCACTTGTATCCAGGTTTCTTGAGATCTTTGTAAGAACTTTCGCTCGTCTTCATTCCAAACCATCAAGTATATCCTTTAACATCCTTTTTTCATCTCTTTCCCTCCATTTTAATAGAAAAGGGGGAAAACTTCAAAAATAGTTCCCCAAAAAGAAACTCTTTCTACATTGCGGCCGGCTACCGAGGAGACTGTTCCATGTACTTTTGACAAGGAACCAGTAGCGTAACCCCCCTTGAGCACGTTCATACCTCGTGGGTGCTCAGTAACCGCCGATTTCAAGGTTGAAAAACCTCCCTCCGTTCTCGAACGATGTGTGAAGGTCTCGAGATATGTATGCTCGATCACCAAAGAAATCCTCCACACGGTCAAAAAGGATTGAAACTGGGATGACAAGCACGTGGTGGTTCCGGACCCAATGAAGATATCACTACCTACGTCAAGGGATACTTAAGTGTTTACACTTTTCCCTTTACGCTGGGCCCATTGGATTCGGTTATCATCCACTTCTGCAAAAGATACGAGATATGCCTTGGGCAAATTCACCCTTCATTCTGGAGGATCGTGATACTTTTTTGGTTCTTTGTGAGTATGATCGATGGATGCCCGTTTTCTCGACCACCTCATGTGTCTATAAACTCCCGACTCTTTCGGGGGGGGAGCTGATCAAGCTCGTGCTGCAGGCTAGTAAAGCCCCGTTCTCGAGTATCGATGAAGATCAAGATCGAGGCTGGGTAGGCCGGTCTGTCAGAGTGAGGACCTCAGACTTAATCCCAGCAGAGTGCATGTCGTTCCCCAAGAAGTGGAACACAAAATGTAAGTAAGATTTCATTTTTTCCATAATTTTATTTTACTCTCTTTTCCTTTTTTCTTATTGGTGCTTGGCGGTGGTGTAATTGTTGCTCGGGTCCCGAATGCAATTCCTCGACTCAACGAGTGGGTCGAGCGCATTGTGTCACAAAAGCCATATTCCGAGCGCGCATGGCGCGAACTTTCAAAGGGCCGGTGGGAGGCCCGTTCTCATGGTGAGATTTCCTTTCTTGAGTGAGTAATACTTGGGCCTTTTTTGTGCTGCTTGGTTTTTATATATTTCGTTTCCCTTTGCAAGTTTATCCAAGGATGTCATAATGAGGCCTCATTCTGGTGAAGAAGATGCCCCCGCCAAGTCCCCTGCTCCGAGACAAGGTGATGAGAAGAAAAAAAAAGAGGGCTGGGAGTTCTTCGAGCTCATAGAAGAAGAAACCGAAAAGAAAGCTGGTGCGCAAGCCAAAAGAAAATACCAGCGCTCGAGCCCCACCTTCGTCGCGCCTCCTTTTTCCTTGCGGAGTCCGGGTTTCGACATTCATTGGGAACAATTCATTTCCTTTTGGGAGTTGGGTATTTGAATTTGAAGAGTCGCCACCTAACGGATTTAAGGTGCGTTAGGGCACCTAGAGCAAATAACTCATGAAACCGGTTTGCATTACCAGGGACTTGGGTAAGGACTCGAAATAACCTTGAGGGGAAGGTGTTAGGCACCCCGCACAGTCCACAACGGTTGGTCCTGGCTGAACTCAAATTATGTGAATTAGTCTTATAAACAGATAAAGCAAATTAGACAAATTGGTATTACATTTAAAACAATGGGTAAAAGGGGTCCTAGGTTTTTTAGCCTACAGGATCACATCTGTACAATACCCGGTAAGCATTCCTCAACTAGAGGAGTTACTCGTGGCATTAGCGCACAGGTCATCATAACCTTTTTACTACCCAATTACCCTCCCCTTAGTGGTTATAGAAGGTCGTGTGTAGTTCTGGATCCAGCGAACGGAACCGATGGAGTTGTTATAGGAATGGCCGTGTGTTTCGGAAAGGGCTCTTTTGGGTAGGACAATATCAGATGGATTTATCCGAAATCGTGAGTGAATTTGGGACGTCATGGGTATCAATGAGCAACATACTTGAACGGTCATAGAATAAAAAGTGGGAATTAATGATGATCGGTTACATTTCAAAATAATTGCGGGATGTGAACGTTATGAACGGAAACAGGAGCGAAGATTGCTCCCATTTGAAGAATGGTTACTTCCTGGATTACCTGCAAAACTTAAAACACGATGCGTGCAAATATATAGATTATTGCGAGAATTTAAACATGATGCAAATTCCCTTTGGATCGTGAAGGTTGTCATTGGACGGCGAGGAAGATGTCCTTATACCATGACGTCCTGGGCCATGGATCGCATGATAAGGGATTCGCAGGCCATGAAATGACGTTCTCGGGCCATGAAAATGGTGCCTCTAAACTATGACTCCTTTGAATAATGATATTGAGAGATCCTCAGGCCATGGCATGGTGTCTTCCGGCTATGAGGATGATGCCTTCGAACTGTGACGCCTTTGGACAAAAATGGCGATGTTTCAGCTCATGAAATGCAAAGACATGATGCTGGGTCATATAAGATGCCAAACAAGATAGAGTTTAGTCTTGCATAAGATTGGGATAGAGCTTAGCCCCGGGAAGGCAAAATAGTGCTAGATTTCAAGTAGCATAGCATTCGGTACTAGGCAAGGAAAGGTAGAGCTTAGCCTTATGTAGTTGAGGAGGCAGACCTTAGCATCATGCAAGAATGGGAGACATTGCTTAGTCTCATGCAATTGGGAGACAATTCTTTGTCTAATGCAAAGAAAGGCAGTGATTAGCCTTATGCAATTAGGAAGGCAATGCTTAGCCTCATGCAAGAAGCGGAGACAATGCTTAGTCTCGATGCAAGGAAGGCACTGCTTAGACTTATGCAATTAGGGAGGCAATGCTTACTCATGCAAGAAGAGCAGACAATGCTTAGTCTCGATGCAAGGAAAGGCAGCGGTTAGCCTTATGCAATTGAGGAGGCAGGGCTTAGCCTCATGCAAAATGGGAGGCAATGCTTAGACTCATGAAAAATAGGAGACAGGGCTTAGTCTCATGCAAAATAGGAGACTGGGCTTAGTCTCATGCAAGGAAAGAAGATAGGGCTTAGTCTCATTTAATGGAAGGCAGTGTTTAGCCTTATGCAATTAGGGAGGCAATGCTTAGTCTCATGCAAAATAGGAGACAGGGCTTAGTCTGATCCAATGGAAGGCAATGCTTAGCCTTATGCAATTAGGGAGGCAATGCTTAGCCTCATGGAAAATAGGAGAGAGGGCTTAATCTCATGCAATGGAAGGCAATGCTTAGCCTCATGCAAAGAAAAGATAATGAGTGATAGCACAGTATTTCTTATCTGGAGACATCTTTGCGTTTGGCAATTTTGTTGTTATGAAGATAATGATTCTGATATTTGTGTATTTGCGCATACTCCTGTTATGTTCATTATTCCTGCATCCAATGAAAAATCGTGAGTTTTGCGGGGAAGGTTGGTTCGTGTCGTCGCCTGCTTAAGTAAATTAGATGAACCAATGACTCTGACACTTTTAGAGACATTGCAACTTCCTTGCATTAGAATATCAGGGTCCTCCTCAAAAATCTGCCCCAGTTTAACAAGCGATTCTTCGGCCGTTCCGCATATGATGAAGTTTGTTGGACTTGCTCCGGAATTTTGAGGGTCCTCCTCAACATTCTGCCCTAGTTTCTGACCATGGGGAAAATGAAAATTTTATTAAGATGTGATCGAAACCACAAGACTGCCTACGTATCCCTCTTAAACGGGAATCGGGTCAAGCGTAGATCAATTACGTCAAAATGAAGAAATGCAAACAATCTAAACATAGTATCTTTTGACTGCGTCTGAGTTGATAGATTTTTGCCATATTTCTCCATCCATTTCTGCAAGTATGAGTGCTCCTCCTGTTAGTACTATGTGAACCATATAAGGACCTCTCCAGTTGGGTGAAAACTTTCCTTTGGCTTCATCTTGATTTGGAAAGATTCGCTTCAGCACCAGTGCCCCTGTGCGAACTGTCTGGGTCTGACCTTTTTGTTGAAAGCTTTGGACGTTCTGTTCTGATAAAGCTGACCATGGGATACCGCATTCATTCTTTTCCCGTCAATAAGAGCTAATTGTTCGTAGCAACTTTTTATCCATTCTGCATCACTGAGTTCAGCTTCCTGTATTATTCTTAAAGAAGGAATTTCGACCTCGGCGGGAATGACAACTTAAGTACCGTAGACCAACATGTAGGGAGTTGCTCCGGTTGATATGTGGACTGTCGTACGGTACCCCAATAAGGCAAATGGTAATTTCTCGCGCCGTTGCTTGTGGTTGTCTACCATCTTTCTCAATGTTTTCTTGATAATCTTGTTTGCGGCCTCCACGGCTCCATTCATTTGAGGCCTTTATGTTGTGGAACTCTTATGCTTGATTTTGAAGGTTTCACACATGACATTCATTAAGTCGCTATTAAGGTTGGCGGCGTTGTCGGTGATGATGGATTCTGGCACCCCGAATAGGCAAACAATACGATCTCTCACAAAATCTGTGTTGACTTTCTTAGTTACAGCCTTGTAAGATGCAGCTTCAACCAATTTTGTGAAGTAGTCCATGGCCACTAGAATGAACCTGTGTCCGTTCGAAGCAGCGGGCTTGATCGGACCGATGACTTCTATTCCCCAAGCGGCAAAAGGCCACGGTGCGCTAATTGCATTGAGTTCATTTGGTGGTACCCGTATCATATCTGCATGTATTTGACACTGGTGACACTTTTGGACATACCTGTTGCAGTCCGTTTCTATAGTCATCTAAAAATATCTTGCCCTCAATATCTTCTTGGCTACAACGAAATCGTTCATGTGTGGTCCGCAAGTCTCGGCATTTATATCTTTGAGCAATTTGGAAGCTTCCTTGGTGTCAACGCACCGTAATAATCCAAGATCTAGAGTCCTTCTATACAGAATTCCTCCACTTTGGAAGAAATGGTTAGATAATCTTCGGAGTGTGCGTTTCTGAGTATGATTCGCATGCTCCGTGTATTCTCCTTTTACCAAGTATTACTTGATATCATGGGACCACGGATTCCCATCTGTTTCTTCTTCAACGTGAGCGTAATAAGCTGGGTGATTATGAATTCTTACTGGAATAGAGTCGATGAAATTCTTGTCCGGGTGTTATTTCTTGGAGGACAAAGTGGTCAGTGTGTCTGCAAACTCATTCTGGATCATCGGAACATGTTTGAACTCTATCTTTGTGAACCTCTTCATCAACTCTTGCACATGATATAGATATGGTAATATTTTGGTACTCTTTGTAGCCTACTCTCCTAGAACCTGATGTACCAGAAAGTCTGAATCACCAATTAGCAGAATTTCTTCGATATTAATGTCAATAGCCAAATTGAGCCCCAAGATGCAAGCCTCGTATTCTGCCATATTGTTGGTGCACGGAAACTTGAGTTTTACGGATACTGGGTAATGCTGGCCTGTCTCTGACACCTAAACGGCTCCAACACCCACTCCTTTGAAATTTGCAGCCCCGTCGAAGAACACTCTCCAACTGTCATAAGTTTCGGTGATATCTTCCCCTACAAATGATATTTCTTCATCGAGAAATACGTTTTAAGTGGTTCATATTCTCCTCCTACAGGGTTTTCTGCAAGATAATCTGCTAATGCATGTCCCTTGACCGCCTTGTAAGTCACATAGACAATATCAAATTCACTCAACAGTATCTGCCATTTTGCTAGTTTCCCTGTAGGCATGGGTTTTGGGAAAATGTATTTCAAAGGCTCCATCCTTGATATGAGATACGTAGTGTAAGAACAGAAACAATGCCTCAATTTCTGAACTATCCACGTCAGGGCGCAGCATGTGCATTCCAGCAAAGAATATCGTGCTTCATAGGGTGAGAACTTCTTACTCATATAGAATATGGCCTGCTCTTTTTCCCCGTCTCATCATGTTATCCCAAGACGCAACCGAAATCCCCATATAGTACAGACAAATAGAGTAACAAAGGTCTGCCAGGCTCTGGCGGGACCAGGACTGGTGGTGTGGACGAATATTCCATGATTTTGTGAAAAGCTTTCTGGCAATCTTCTGTCCAACTTGTCGCGACGTCCTTCTTTAACATTTTGAAAAAATTCTCACATATCACAGTCGATTGTGCTATGAAGCGACTGATGTAATTGAGACGGCCCAAGAAGCTCATCACATCTTTCTCGTTCTTTGGCGGTGGAAAATCTTGGATAGCCTTGACCTTTGACGGGTCTAGCTAAACTCCTCAGCGACTGACGATGAATCCTAACAGCTTTCCAGCAGGGACTCCAAAGACACATCTTGCGGGATTCAGTTTTAGATTATACCT